CCGGGCGGGTAGTTGTTTTCTACATTTAGCCTTGCTTGCCCAAAGCAGGGCTAAATGTAGAAAGCAACTACCCGCTCGGGGCCTGGAACTGCATGTCCCCGGGTCGGGGAATTCCACACCCCTGCCGCCCCTCTGCTCCCTGCCGCCCCGAGGCCGGGCCTTGTGGGAAATCCGGCCCTGTAGGCAACATAACATCCTTACTTCTTGATCTTCATATGTTCTCCTCTATTGCTTCAGAACATATTTAGGTTTAACAAGCATCTTAAGCATGGCCAAAAGTTTCTGAATGCCTGACTATCACACCGTCATAGCCAAAAGTATGGACCTTCATCCAATGAATTGAGATCTGGTCCTTCCAGTGAAGGTTCTGTTTATCCTTCATCATACAAAGGCATTTTATACAATTGTGCTCTTCAAGGCTGGTGGGAACCGTTTGGTGAAGGTCCTTTTCTGTTCCATCATGACTGTCCCCTGTGTACAAGGCAAGCTTCCGTAGTTTTACCAGTTTGGTGTGGAGTTGCTTAAATAGCCCCATGAACAGAGGTCTGACCTCAACCCTACTGAACACCTTCTGGGATTAATTAGAACATCAATTCTGAGCCAAGTCTATTCATGCACAAACCTAGTTCCATAAAGACATGATCTGACCTGTTTGGTGTGGAGGAACTTGAGTGTCCTGCACGGAGCCCTGACCTCAACCCTACTGAACACCTTTCGGGATTAATTAGAACATTGACTGTGAGCCAGGTCTTCACATGCACAAACCTAGATCCCTATAGACATGGTCCAACCAGTTTGGTGTGGAGGAACTCAAGTTTCCTGCACAAAGCCCTGACCTCAACCCTACTGAACACCTTTTAGGATGAGTTTAAAAGTCGATTGTGAGCCAAGTCTTCTCATGCACAAACCTAGCTCCATAAAGTCATGGTCTGACCTGTTTGGTGTGGAGGAACTGACTTCACCCCTACTGAACACTTTTCCGGGAGGAATTAGAACATTGACTGTGAGCCAGATCTTCTCATGTACAAACCTCACTCCATAAAGACATGGTCTGACCAGTTTGATGTAGCTGAACTCAAGTGTCCTGCACAGAGCCCTGACCTCAACCCTACTGAACACTTTTTGAGATGAACTAGAACACCAGGTCTTCTTCTCCATCATCAGTACCTAACCTCGCGAATGCTCTTTTGTCCAAATGGGCACAAACTCCCACTGACACCCTTCAATATCTTGTGAAAAGCCTTCCCAGGAGAATGGAGGTTGTTATGGCCTCAAAAAGGGGCCGACTCCATATTTATGTCCAGGATTTCGGAATAAGATGTCCAACAAACTCATGTATGTGTGATGGTCAGATGTCTAACAAGAATTGGCCCTATGTTACATCTTTATATACGACAAGGATAGCTAATTTAATCTCTTTTGAGTAAATGGTTGCAAATTCCCAGAGGCACCCTCCAAAATCTTGTGGAAAGTGGAGTGGAGGATGTTATAGCTGCAAACAGGAGGACGAATTCCTTATCAATGTCCATGGCTTTGGAATGGGATGTCCAACAAGCTCCTATAGGGTGTGATGGTCAGGTGACCACAAACCATTGGCCATCTGGTGAGGACGTTCACCCTCCAAGTCTGTCTGCGATTTGGAGGTGACAGGAAACAAGGAAAACATGGAGGAAGAGGGCAGGAGGCAGTGATGGCATCCCTCAGATCCCAAAACATCCATGAACTAGAGAGCAAGGGTTTCTTTGGTTGGACGATGACGTTGCCTACTGGAAACCTTTGGAGAAGCACCAGGTTGACCAGTAGGGACAAATGTGGCAAACTGTCATCCTTCTCCATTTTGGGTGAGGTGAGGATGTTCACCCTCCGAGTCTGTCTGTGATTTGTATGGGGAGGAGACGGGAAACAAGGAAAACATGGAGGAAGAGGGCAGGAGGCAGTGATGGTATCCCTTGGATTTTATCCCACTTTAAAGGACACTTTAAGAAAATGTTTCCCTCTTTTTTCTTTCATGTTTTAATGCATTTTATTTTTGCAAGTCGTGGAGCATTTTACGTGCTGCGAGCTTATTACGTGCATTCCTTTCCTTTTAATTTTCGCCACTTCCTGTCCACGTTTTTTGGGGGGTTTGCGTCTGTGTTTGCTAGAATTATGGAAAATGCGCACATTAAACCGCAAAATTGTTATTAGCGCATTTTTTTATGCGGCGCCGTCGGCTACAATGTAAAAACCCATAAAGAAACGCATCAAGCCAACGCCGACCTCTAGCGCAGCGTGGATCATAGCGGCATTGGTACTGAGTTTCAAACGCGCTGCGAGCCTGCGCGCATGAAATGCTACTGCGAGAGTGGGCCCTTACAGACGAATGTGTAGCACGTCCACCGGGGGGAACGATTCCCTTTGTGATGTAGTAACAGTATCTCCAACTGTGCGTTTTATTTCTATCCCCGTCCATGTGAATACATGCACCATTGACTCTCAGCCAAAGGGGCTGAGAGGTTCCAGAATGTAAACAATGTTATAAGGAAGAGCCTGTCTTTTCAGGTCCTTCCAGGTTTTCCTAATTGTAGCTGGGATCTGGAGCTCTGGAGATCTCTAAAGGGAAATCCCGCAATTATACGATTATCGCAAGGTGTATGGAAGGGGTGCAACCGTTTTTACTGTACGCTCACACGTCTTTTGTCGAACCAGCATGCTAGAAAACCCGCCGAGAATCGTACGATTCAGCATTGCGGTCATCGGAAGCGGGGCGGGCTTTTGATGGTCGCAAGTACGATCTGCCTGTCCAAGATGGGCAGATCGTACGAGCTTTAATTAGCTTACGACCATCGCAAGACAAAAGTCTTGCGATGGTCTTAAGGTGTATGTGCACCTTTAGAGCTCTGGGTGGGATGAGATCTCCAGTCCTGGGGCCGGGTGTTACCTATGACCAGTTTCGGCCGATCAAGTGGCTGAGAGCAGCTTTATTAGAAGCCAGCCCAGTGCTCAGAGGGGTGAGAGAGTTGTGTGGGTGCAGGAGGCACAGAGCCACAGCAGACTCAGGTGCGTGCTGGACACGTGGAACAGCCAGGGAAGGCTGGGAGAGGTCGGGAAGGTCGGTGACCCTAGGACCTGTGGGACACACTGCTGAGAGAGCAGATTGAGGGCTCACGAGGGGTGAGCAGTGTGAGTTTCTTGGAGCTGTGGAAAGCTACAGAGCGAAGCTAAAAGACTGTCTTATGTTGCTGTTAGAAACTGTCTTGTGCAGCAGGGGAGGTCTACCCTGTGGATGGAATGAGATATTTGGTGTTTGCCCTTAATAAAAACTGCATTTTACTTGCACCTCCTGTCTACAGTGGAGTGTCCTTGTTACAATATATATATATATCTATATCTATATATATATGACTATATATATATATAGATATATATATATGTTGTGATGTTGGGGAGCTCACAGAGCACTCGCACAGCGTTTTTCCATTAACGAAAAGTCTTTATTGGTCTTTCAACAGCAGATACTCAAGGAAGCTCAACATACAATAGCTTGTCTTCAGCAGAATATATATATATATTGGCTCAACAATCACCGAGTTGTTCCATACACTCACGGTGTCCCAGTCGTTTAATAGTTCTCTCTTGCAGCACTGCTGCTCCGGCCTCAATCTTCAGGGCCACTGTCTGGTTCCCCCAGACAACCTCAATCACGTGCCAATCCTCACCATAGGCTTCACAAACCTGCAGCGCTCTGCTGCACTGGCCTCCACACTGACTCCTGGGTGGAGTTCCCCTGACTCACAGGTGGGGCCCTGAACACATCCCGGCACACTCTTCATGAGGGATGTACACAGGTGCTGGTTACTACCAAAGCATGGGCCCAGGAATGGAGATTTCCTCCCACCCAGAGCTCTAAGAAATCTCCTGGCTCCAGGATCCCAACTGTGATCCAGAAAACAAGGAAAGGACTGAAATGGAAGTTCTTTCCTGGTACCAATAATGTCTTCCTGGAACCACTCAGCCCCTCTGGCTGAGAATCCTGGGTCACCTTGAGGCCACATAACACAGTGGTATTGCAACGCGTCACCCATTGATTTCAGTGGGTTCCTGCACACGTGACAAACACGGAAAAGTAGCTCAAGTAGCAAATTCTGCCACCTTGCCTCCCGTGTTTCTTCCCCCTGTGTTTGTGTGCGTTTTCACACGTGGGATAACCACACGCGGATCTTGAGGGTACACATACAGAGATCTGGGTTTTTTGAATGGAGAAGAGCAATGGTCTATAGAAATCTGGTATAATAAAAATAATAATAAAAATATAATAATAATTCAACATTTTATTTAAATGTTCAATTAGCATATTGATGAGTGAGAATCTGTCATGCTTTCGGGAAGGGGGGGCGGTGGGGGGGAGGGGTTGCCATCTGTGCCTAATTTCAGAGGTTTCCCTTCACTTCCTGTTCTGTGGACTGACTCAACAGGAAGATGAAAGGAAAGTGATCTTAAATTAATTAGAACAAAGGAGGAAAAAAGTGAAAAGATTGACGATGTGCAATACTTTAGCAAATGGAGTGTCATTTTGTTTTTGTTCTTCATTCACAGAATTACAACAACTGCTGCCTGTATGATGGATCTGCGCAGATATCCCCTGGACCAGCAGAACTGCACCCTGGAGATAGAGAGCTGTGAGTGTTTTCACTGAGGATTCCATTTCTTTATTAAGGGAGTTGTAAAGTTCCAGCCTATCCTCTCATATTATAACATCAGCATTGTAATATGAATACATACTATATACATGCCACAATCCCATTCTATATGTATGGGGAGCTGTGCCCATGGTGGCTTCCAGCAGTCCTGAGGAGTACGGCTTTCCCAACAGAATAGAATTGGACCGTGGCACACATTCATGCAGGATGATGAGGACCTGTCAGATGAGCATTGCAACATGAATACCTACTATATACATGCCACAATCCTATTCTATATTTATAGGGAGCTGTGCCCAGCAGTCCTGAGGAGTACGGCTTTCCCAACAGAATAGAATTGGACTATGTCACACATTCATGCAGGATGATGAGGACCTATCACATCAGCATTGTAATAGGAATACATACTATATACATGACGCAATCCCATTCTATATGTATGGGGAGCTGTGCCCATGGTGGCTTCCAGCAGTCCTGAGGAGTATGGCTTTCCCAGAAGAATTGAATGGGACTGTAGCACACATTCATGCCGGATGAAGAGGACCTATCACATTGTAACAGGAACACATACTAGAGCTTTTAACGCAATAAAAGCTTACTGGAACAAATTCCTTTTATGTAGTGAGTGCTGCCTTCTGCCCATCACTTCCAACAACTTCCTGGATTCCCAGTGTGCTTTGCGTCTCTTTCTTGATGTGATGTAATCTCCACCTCCCAAGACTACATATCCCACCATGCATTTCTTATGGCAAGCAATGATGATGTAACATTGTTCAGACGTTGAGTTGTAGTTCAGGTGGCAGGCTCCGTGACAGGAATGACACCAGTTAGTGCATATTCACAGGACTGAGTGAAATGGGGTCAGTGCACTGAGGAAGTCCATCCTATCGGCATCTTCAGTTTAGAAACTTCTAGGTGGATATGGTTATCAGGAGCGGGATAGAACTTATGGAAATTCAATATAGAAATACAGATTTATTCGTTTTTAACCATGGGTACCCTTCAAATGCAATTTTTTTGGGTGGCACATGGAAGTGCATATTCACAGGGCTGAGTGAAATGGTGTCAGTGCACTGAGGAAGTCCATCCTATGGGCATCTTCAGTGTAGAAACCTCTAGATGGATCTGGTTATCAGGAGTGGGATAGAACTTATGGAAATTCTATCGATAATTCTTAATGGATAATGAATCAGCATTGTCCTCTCTAGCTAATGGATAATGAATCAGCATTGTCCCCTCTATCCAATGGATAATGAATCAGCATTGTCCCCTCTATCCAATGGATATTGAATCAGCATTGTCCCCTCTATCCAATGGATAATGAATCAGCATTGTCCCCTCTATCCAATGGATATTGAATCAGCATTGTCCCCTCTATCCAATGGATAATGAATCAGCATTGTCCTCTGTAGCCAATGGATATTGAATCAGCATTGTCCCCTCTATCCAATGGATAATGAATCAGCGTTGTACCCTCTATCTAATAGATATTTAACCCCTTCCGACCCACAATCTGCTGATCAACATTCCCCATGATGCCTCATGCTTTTGACAGCTAGCAGCCGACACTATTCACTGCTGCTAGCTGTCACACCAGGCTGTCAATGTAACTAACATTCTTGCCTTGTCTCTTCCTACGCCAACAAAAAGTGTGAAACAAATTTTCCCTTTACAGCTCTTTCCGGTGTGTTGAATCCTTTCATTTATTTTTCTTCTTTTGCAGACGGTTACACAACGGACGACATTGAATTCTTCTGGCAGGGGGGTGAAGAAGTGGCCGTGACTGGGGTGTCTGCCTTGGAATTGCCACAGTTCACGATTATCGAAACCAGACTGGTTACTAGGAAAGTTGTGTTTACAACTGGTGAGAAGCATTGCCATGGAGAAGAGATGACTAGGAAATGTTTCTGTGTCTTATCAACTTTGTTTCTCCTGAGCCAGGATGGTTACAAGTCTTGTCAGGAAGCGATAATGGTTGTGGACAATTTTATTTGAACGTTTAGACGTTTACAAAGCAATGGTTTTTGTATTTTTTTTATTGGGTGCTTAAAGGAGAACTATGGGGTTAGGACTTTTCCCCATAGTTCTTCTAAGAGTAACGTGAGGACACAAACTAGCGTCCTCCCGTCACACAAAGCTCATTATACCGCGAGTTACAGCTCGCGGTATACTGAGACGCCGCAGCCGGAACGGATCCCGACAATTCTGTCTGGATACACCCAGCTGCGTGAGTGACAGCGGGCTCTGCCTATCTAGAGGCAGAGCCAGCTGTACCCGCCCCTGTCCGTTCCGCCGGTCAGAGCTGGAGGACAGGGGAGGGGGGAATCCCTGCAGAGAGCCGTGAGTGATAGTCACGGCTCTCTGCACGGATAGATCAAGAAGTGAGCGAGCACTGCTATGTGTTCGCTCACTTCCCGATCTACTGAGCCGACTTGTGACAGTTTCATTGTCACAGGTCGGCTCAGATTATGAGGCTGAGTGAAAATCACTCACCTCATAGTTCTCCTTTAAAACCTTTAATTTGAAAAATAAATAAATAAACATGAATAGCTGAATTCTATTCAGACACAATCCGCAGATGAATGCAGTTTTGTATTCGTAATACAATATGGAATGTATTTTTTCATGCAAGCAGTGCAAGTACCTGATATGGTATCAGCCTCTTGCAATGCCCCGTACAGCAGAGCTCACACTAGAAGAGAGAAAAGCAGAACAACGAGCCAATCAGCTGTGCTGTCCATGCTAAAGAGGAACATGCTGATCGAAGGAGCGGGCAGAGTGGCAGAGAGATGAGCTCATCAGTCTTCTGCTTCTCCTTTACCTGTCCAGTCACAGGCTGGGGTAGCAGAGACCAATCATGTCTTCTGCCATGCCGGAGCTGCACTCCAAAGTTGTGTACTTTTTAGACATTTTCCTGCCCAAGACACCCCCACTCCCATCTTATACTCTTTTGTCTTTGATCCAACAAGATCTCCGCTATGCAGTCTCTAAGAATCCCCCCGGTTGCATGCCGCGATCCCTATTCAGTCCTTTCATAGGATTGAATTAAGATTGCACATCAAACTTGCTCATCCCACCAGCGATGACCACTCAGTACTCTCTGTTGCCTCTGCCACCACCTTCTCCAGTTCCAGTTGCCACCCTTTTTGGCTGTTGGGCAGCCATTGATGATGCAACTCCCACACCTGCACTTTTTGGGCAAAAGAGACATATAAGGCATCTTCTACCAAAAACCAAGTTCATTTCCACCTGAACCACTCTTACCTTTAAGATCTTCTTCCCGAAACTTTGATTACATATGCAAACCTCTACACACCACTAATGTGCCCTTGACCTCTGTAAAGTCCTTCAAGTATATCTAAAACCCAACACATCATGTAATAAATTGCAGCTTACCAGTCCTGTCAGGCTCCAGTAGCCTCTAGTGGTAGAGCTTGTTTCCTGATGCCACCATGCCATGATACAGCGGTGGTGAAGTCCCATTAGCGAGATCTTTTTCCACTTCCTGTCTCGGAGAGAGATCTCACAAAAGGAGGGGAAATCTTATCTACGGTAGTCACCAGAAGATTCCCCCTCCATTTCTGTTAACGTGAAATGTTCTAAAAACTCTAAATTTTAGATCTTCCCATTAAATTCAGATCCAAGCAACAATGGCCACCAACAAAAATAGAGAGGGTGACTCTTCTCAGTGGGGGCAAAGATGGTGCTAAGAACCTGACAGGGGATCCAAGCCCTCAATACTCCATCCAAAGAATGTATCCTATACAGGGAGGAATGAAAATCCAGAAAACTAGCTAGATAATCAGGAGAACATTCTCTGTATATTACATTACTGTTTTTTTTCCCTCTGTTGGTTGAAGTCCATTGAGTTCAACCAATAGAGGAAAGAACTTGATGGACTTCAACCTGACCAGCTATGTAACTATGTATATCCGTTCTGTTTTCCAGGTTCCTATCCCCGTCTGTCTCTGAGTTTTCGCATTAAGAGGAACATTGGATATTTCATTCTTCAGACCTATATGCCATCCGTCTTGATTACTATACTGTCTTGGGTATCCTTCTGGATCAACTATGATGCTTCTGCAGCTAGGGTAGCACTAGGTATGTACTCCAAAAAGAAGGTATCACTAGGTATGTACTAAAAAGACAGTTGATGGAAAAGAAAACTTGTAGAACAAAACTGTACAGCCAGGGGAGGACTGGGCTTGGGGAGGCTTGGGGCATTTTCTCCTTGGGCCAATGCTATGTTGGCCTGGAGGCCCCCCCCCCCCCAATGGAGATATTTTGATGAGAATGGGAAATGCAGTCAATGACACGTGGTGGGCATTATATACCTACTTGATCCCCATTCAGATCTGTGATCACAGCCTCTAGGAGAGGGACGCGTTCTTGGGACTGACTTCCTTTGTGGCTCTGGGATGACATGTGACCAATGCTGAGGGCCGCAAAGGAATGTGTGAGGATGTGCCCTATAGGAGCACCTACCTCTCATCAAGACCACCAATGACCACCATGATACACCTCGAGTGGTACACTTTCTTCCTCTGTCTCTTCCATTAAAGGGATACTTGGTTGTAGTTGCCCTCCAACCAAAAGGTCCCAGTCCTCTACCTAGTACATTCATATAAACAGTATGCAATCATAGGGAGGTTTAGAAGCTGAACTCCAGGATAAGTAGATATTGTCCTCATACAAGCTCCATGTGTATTCTTCCTGGAAACTTGGATTTGTGTATTTCTTCCAGATCTGTGCAGTTATACAGTGTGAGGCTTGGAGCTTCCTGTATTAAAGACTGCTCACTGCTGCTCTCTCCTTGTGCAGGGTGACTGGTCTTGTCTCCGCCCCTTCCTGTAATAAAGACCGCTCACTGCTGCGCTCTCTCCTTGTGCAGGGTGACTGGTCTTGTCTCCGCCCCTTCCTGTAATAAAGACCGCTCACTGCTGCGCTCTCTCCTTGTGCAGGGTGACTGGTCTTGTCTCCGCCCCCTCCTGTAATAAAGACTGCTCACTGCTGCTCTCTCTCCTTGTGCAGGATGACTAGTCTTGTCTCCACCCCCCTCCCCATGTAGTTCCCTGTAGTGGTTGAGACCTTCTGGGTCCCTCCCATAGCTCTGCTCTCTCTTCTTGTGCAGGGTGACTGGTCTTGTCTCCGCCCCCTGTAGTCTTCTGTAGTGGGTGGGTCCTGCTGGGCCCCTCCCACAGTTCTGCTCACTGCACAGGCTATGTAGAGCACAGTAGTAAAATCACGACTACTTTTAAGGTAATAGCTGCATTTGGTGCATGCAAGGTGGATTTGTATCCTTTGTGGCCATTGGGGAATACATTTCAATTAACATTTTTGTACCCGAGGTTCAGCTTTAAAATATTTTGGAATAGATGAACATAAAATAATTAATGTTTTCCTTCTGCATTTCAGGAGTCACTACTGTACTCACTATGACCACGATTAATACCCACCTGAGGGAAACCCTGCCCAAAATCCCCTATGTGAAAGCGATTGACGTGTATCTGATGGGATGTTTTGTGTTCGTGTTCCTGGCTCTGTTGGAATATGCTTTTGTAAATTACGTGTTCTTTGGCCGGGGCCCTCAGCAGCAGAAGAAGTTAAACGAGCGGACAAATAAATCGATAAATGATAGGCAACGCTACGAAGAAAGGAGATTAAGAGAACAGGTAAGTGTCCCCAGTTAGAAAACAGTCTAATGGGTTCCATGGCTATTGGCCCGATCCAGACTGACCCTTCGCTGCTGGTCCCTGGAAGCGCTACATTGTATTTAGTATTTGAATAATATAGGAAACGGGTACAGACCTCTGTCACCTTTTTTTCATTTCCTTCTGTGTCCCTTTAGGGAGATTTCCCTTCACTTCCTGTCCTGGAGACTCAACAGGAAGTGATAGGAAATATCTACAAAATGAACGGAAGTAGCCTCTTAGACAGTGGTCACCACAACAGGTGTCCCCATTGGAGGATATACCTGGTTCTGGTGACAACTTTAAAAATAAGGATTTTCCCATCACTTTCTGTACCAAATAAAATGTTTACTGGGACAAACAGAGGGAATTAATCTTGCCAGCTGGGGGGGGGACACATGGAAGACCCTGCCCTACACTTTTCTTCTACTTGGGGAAATAGAAGGAAAGTGTAGGTAGTGGGCAGGGGTAAGTAACCTTAGTACTGCAGCTGTGGTGAAACTGCAAATCCCACCATTCCTTTGGGAGTCACTCTTGTGGCTGTCAACGTCTTGCAATGCTGAATGGGACTTGTAGTTCCAGAACAGTGTCGTGGTTGCCTACCCCTGGTGTAGGGTTCTATATAGGGGATATAGGGGATGAACAGTAGCTTAGGTTCTTCACTTCGGTCAGCATGTTCGGCTGAACCGAAGTGCAGGAGGACTTCAACTCAGCCGATCCGACATCTGGATCGGCTGAGCCGAAGCTCCGGCAGCTCACTCACTGCCGTTCGCCCCTATTCACATAGGGGGCAGAACAGCAGTCAGTGAATAGCCGAATGCCGCCGGGATAGCGCTCGGCTATTCTGCTCGGTACCTCGGTTCCTGTACCTCGGTTCGACTGAACCTAAGGGCTCTAGCGGCTGAAGAGAGCAGAAGGATCAGCGAAGCTATGGCTGGATCCTTCAGCTCCTTCGTGAATAGCCCCCTATATTTTAATAATACCCCCAACTGTCCACCAGGTTTATAACATCCAGGGGGTGTTTGGCAGTTAGCACCTCCCTTACTTCCTGCACGATCAGCTTGGAGGCAAGCAACATGCTTCTCCTATTGGCACTTGATGCCATCTAGGCAAGGTTTTAAGAGAGTGTTTTTGGTCTTAGACCATATTATAGACCATATAATGGACAAAGGTTACTCTTCCATCCTTCCATCTATGCAGAGCGAATAAGTGTTTCCTGGGCAGTACATGAATAGAAGGGCTCTTGGAAAGGGGAGGACGTTGTTGACTTTGTCCATCACTCGTAAAAAAACGGTATCTTCTGCAAGGGAAGGCAACAGTGGACATTGTTTCCTCTAACTGCCCATACCTGTATTATGTGATTGTGTTAATCGTGTCCCTCTCTCTAGGTTGACCCTTACGGAAACATTCTTCTGAGCACCCTTGACATGAGCAGCGAGTTGATGTCAGCCGAGATGGGAAGCAGCATCGGTGATTCCCGGAACTCCGTCCTGTCATACGACACCTCAGGGATCCAGTTCCGCAAGCAGCTAACATCTAGAGGGGACACTTTTGGCCAGACTCCCCTGGAGCGCCACGTTCCTCTAGCAGCCACACGTGGACGTGCCAACTGCCGCCTCCGGCGACGCTCCTCTAAGTTAAAGCTTAAGATCCCAGACCTGACAGATGTCAGCACCATCGACAAATGGTCCCGGGTCATTTTCCCCATCACGTTTGGATTTTTTAACTTGGTTTACTGGATGTACTACGTCAACTGAAGCATCTCCATCAGCCCCCTTCACCCTAAGCTGTGCACACCCTTTTCCTTCCACAGGACACGAGCTTCACCTAAAAAAAAATCTCTCACCCCCCCTCTCTTGCTTCACAGTGTGATGTCTGGGCCAGCGACAGGAGTAGCCATTCGATCCTACAAAGAGGGGGGGGGGGGAGAATTGCACTTTTTTGTCACACTTTTTTTCATCAGATTTCTAAAAGGTTTTTTCCCTTTTTTTTTAAAAAGAAAAAACAAAAGTTTTCATTTTACCTGGAAGCAGATTATGGCTGGGTACTGTGAGTCGTTTTTTGGATGTTATTCTGAAGAAACCTTTTTCTCGCGACTTAGTTAATCGTTATAATAAAAAAAAAAAAATGTGTTAAAATTAAGAATGCTCCGATACAAAGTATGAGGAGTAAGTAGAACAAGGTCAGGTGACGCTGGCAATTATTTCCTATCTCTTTATGCAGATTAAAATGATCATTGCTACATATTGTGGAGCTCACAAAGGCACGGAGAAGACTCCGTAGAGCAGGAGATTCCCAGTTGCAAGCTCGAATCGCACAATGCAAACGTTCTTGATGGAGAGCCTTTGATTATAACTTGTTTTTTTTTAAACAGAGGGGGGCGGAGCCAATTAAACACGACGGCATGGCAGATCCAAGACGTAATATTTGGCTGGCCAAAACTATTTTGGGGCAAGGCCGTCAAAAGAGTAAACAAACACCGCACAATCCAGCCGACGCGTTTTAAATAATTGTGCATTTTATATTTACAATCATCACCTAAAAGTCAAACCGAAAAAATTCGCCCGCGGCCACCAAAATTTGGGATGTAAATTTAACCGGCAGATGCAAATTTTAAATATTAGAAGATATGAAAAAAAATTATTGAGAGGCAAAAAAAAAAAAGGCCTTGATTTACTAAAAGTAGGTAGGTAACGTCCCTTTGACTTCGGTTTGAATTTTGCTTTTTATCTATTTGTGGGATTTTATATTTTATTTATTTATGTAATTATTTATTTATTTATTTTCTTGATTTGTGAAAGATGATGGAGTTCTAGCTATTAATGTATTTATCACTGAAA